GGACTCGTTGCCTTCCCGTCAAGGTCTGCGATAAATTTTTTTTGATTTTTACTGATTTTCACGAATTTAGAGAATTTTTTTTCTAAACGAAAAAATAATTCTCTAAATTACTTACTCTCTCTCTCTCTCTAAAAGAATTTTTCTATCGAAAAAATTACAATTACTAAAAAAAAGTTATACTACAAACCCAACCTCCATAAGTAGGGTCATCTTTTATAATAACAATGGCATATATGGGTTTTATTTTTTATTATTGATAAGTCGAGAGAATAAATCTTGATTAATCTTATATTCTTTAAGCAAAATAAAAAGGGGAATAATATATATTAAATATTTAATTATTTAATTTTTAATGTAATATTTACAACCAAAAGTAATAGAAAATGAAGTTTTATGCAAACAGCATAAACAACCGATTGAATCTGTCCTTCTAGACGCTAAATTATCGAACGATTAGAGAGTTTTTTGCAAGTCTTGTAGCAAATACAATCCAAATTAAGCTGAAATTGTTGATTATCTTCTACTTAAATAAAACTTTGAAAGAGAACAATGTGAAAGGATTAAACAATATTAGCCAATAATCAAACCTCATATTGAATATGTTGAAAACTTTTATAAAGTTGCTGATGCATTTAGAACAAGATTAGTTCGATTATTTGATAATTTACTCTGGCTTTCGAAAGATTGGATTACTAATTTGGCTGATTTTGCATAATAATACAGCTTTTTTGGAGAATTAGATTTATTAATCGAGAGGAAGTAGTCAGTTATTGATTCAAGAAATATAATTCAAAGTTTAAAAAAAAGAAATGAAGATTGGAATATTAAAATATAGAAATAATTGGATCAATTTGATCTCTCTCCTTAAATCAAGAAATGCAAGGATGTGTTGTAATCTTTAAATTAATTAATTCAAAATCAAGAAAGAGAAATTAACTAAGAATATTCTTCCAATTCACAGATACAATTAACTTTAAAAGAAATAAAGTAAGTCTATTACAGAAATGATGATTTCTATTAAGTATTAACTTAGACTAAGCATTTTGATGGAACGTACCTTAACTAGCTATTTTAGATGCTGAGTAATAAGAAGATCACTAATTGTTTAGAATTCTTTAAAAATTAAACTGATTTGAAATTTATCTCTTCTATGATTTAAAATGTTAGTGAAATAGACTTTAATAAGATAAATTATTCAACTGAAAATTATGATTAAATTAGAAAGGGTTTAATAAAATAAATATCTTTTGATCAGAACATAATTGAATTTTTGAAGTTCCTTGTATAATTTACAGCCGTTGACGAGAGATTTATCTAAAGCGGATCGAATGCACTCAATTTATTAGTAGAAATGAAGGTGGATTTGAAAGAATAAAGCTTTGTGAATATAAGGATTAGAGATACGTCTTTGGTTGGTGGAAACTTTGTCAGATGTAATTTCAATGGATCAGAATTTGAAAATGTGGATATAAGTGGAATGAACTTGAATTAAGCTTAATTGTTCAATTGTAAATGGAACAATATTAAAATACATGAGTTAAATAAATTAGATGGTCAT